AATCCTTCTGCAGCTACTGCCTGTCTGTCCCTTCCACAGCACATACCTCTCCCTCCTCCTGAACTCTTGGGTGCTGGCAAGTTATCTCTGAGTGGGTTTGTGCCTGAGTTTAACAATGCCCCACTAGACTGGAAACAAGACCACAGCAAGCACTGACCTCAGTTAGAACAAGTGTGGGCAGGTTGTGAGCCACCTCCTGTTTCCACATCATTCTCTCCCTGCTGCTTGACTTCCTAGTTTATGGGACGGTCAAGAGAGGGCCCCCAGAGCAGTAACTAGTCAGGGCGCTGAAAAGGGGGAGGTGGGCAGCCTTATCATCTGTCCCCTTCAGCTGTTCCCTCTCTCCCAACTTTATTTATTTATTTATTTTTGAGATGGGGTCTCACTCTGTCGCCCAGGCTGGAGTGCAATGGCGTGATCGCGGCTCACTGCAACCTCTGCCTTCCGGGTCCAAGCAATATTCCTGCCTCAACCTCCCGAGTAGCTGGGATTGCAGGCGTGTATCACCATGCCCAGCTAATTTTTGTATTTTTAGTAGAGTGGGGGTTTCACTATCTTGGCCAGGGTGGACTCGATCTCTTGACCTTGTGATCCGCCCACCTCGGCCTCCCAAAGTGCTGGGATCACGCCACGGCACCCAGCCCTCTCCCGACTTCTTCACTGGGTGGGGAAGCAGAGTGTTCTGATGGTTGGGAGCATCAATCTGGGCTCAAGATTCTACCACTGTCTACCTGTATGACCTCATAGAAATGTCTTAGCCTCTCTGAGCCTCTGTTTGCTCACCTGTAAAACGAAGATAATGATATCTCTTTCATGGGATCACTGAAAGGACTAACTGGGTAAAACACTTCCCTCGGTGCTTGTCTCAAAGAAAACGCCCAGCCCCTGGAAGCTGGGTCACTCTTGACTTCTGCTGGCACCACCGAGTAGCTCTGAGTTTGGGAATAGGGTTTTGAGTGGCAAAGGGCATTTATTTCCCCCTGTTGAGGGGGTTGAAAGAAGTGATCTACATAGAGGTGAAGAGTGCAAACTCTGCTGTTGCGAGACCCTGGCCAACTTACTTATAACCTCTCTAGACCACACTTCCCTCATCTGTAAAACCAGAATTATAATCATGACTTTTAAGTAATGGAGCTACAATGAATATCACATAAGTTCATGATCATAGAAGTGACTTACCTGTCCTCACCGTCTCTACTTCCTCACCCTCGGTTCTCTCTTGAGATCACTGCAGACAGGCTTTTGTCCTCACACCCACCATGTCCAGCTCACTAAGTCACCATGCTGCTGAATCCAGTGGTGACTTTTCAATCTCTGTCTTTGACACAGCTGATCGCTCCCTCCTTTTCTCCATGGGAGTTTAGTATACTGCCATTCCTGGTTCTTCTCCTATGGCGCTGGCCACTTCTCATCTCAGCTGGCAACTCACCTTCCCAGCATTTATGTGTTGGAGGGTCCGGGCCTCACTCTTTGGCCTCTTCTTGCCTATGCTCACTCCTGGGTGATCTCCTCCGGTCCCGTGGCTTTCGGACAAGTGTCACACCGATGGCTTCTATAATTCTGTCTACAGTCCAGTCTTCCCTACTGAGTGCCCATTCCCAAAACCATGCTTCTTCGGCAGGGACATGCATGTCTAAAACATCTAATAAGCCTCTCGAATTCAACATGCCTAAAATAGGAAGTCTTCACTGTGCCCTGATTTCATCCTACCAAAACTGCCTCCTCTGTGGGCTTCCCCATTTCCAACACTGGTACCAGTTGTTCCAGTGAGATAGCCGAGCATACCCTTGGTTCTTCTCTCCACATCACATCCAGTCTATCAGTAAGTTCTACTAGGGGACCCAGAATACACCCCAAATCTGACCTCTTCTCACACCCCCATCAGGACTGTCCTAGTCCCAGCCCAGCCTCCTTTGTCTCTCCCCAGTCTCCTTAGGTGGCCCTTGCCCATCTCCCACTTCCACCCTTGCCCAACTGCGGTCTGTCCGCCAGAGTGATCTCTTACAAAGAGAAATCAAGCATGTCGATCCCCTGTCAAAACTCTCCAGTAGCTTTCCATTACAATCAAACTAAAACAGAGACGGACGTACAGGACCCCATGTAATTATGCCACCTCCAATGTTGCAGTTGTCACCACCTTCCTCCTTCCATTGCCCACGCAGCTTTAGCTGTGCCAGAGCTGAAGCATCCCGCTCCAGCACTCCTGCGTTTGCGGTGTCTGCCTGGAGCTCTTTTTCCATGCGTTGCTACATGCCTGCTTCTTCATTTCTGTCAGCTCAGATATTACCACTGCAGAGACCTCACCTGATTCCCTCATCTAAGTTAATCTCTTTCCTCAAGCTACCCTAACCTCTATGCTTATGTTTCTGTGGAGTACTCATCTCCACCTAAAGTTGTGTGTGCGTGTGTGCGTGTGCGTGTGCGTGTGTGTTCATGTGTGTGCGTTTGCGTGTGCATTTGTTTACTTGTTTATTATTCGAAGCCTTCACTAGGAGGTAAAGTCTATGAAGAAGTGGACGGTGTCTTGTTTACAGCTGCATCTCCAGTGTCTAAAAAAGTACTCAGTACACAGTAGGCACTCAAACATGTGTTAAATGAATTTGTGATAATCACCTACTCCAAAGGGTCGATGTAAGAATTCGAGGCAGTGATGCTTGTGAAGCCCTTAGCATGGCGCCTGGCTCACAGTAGGACCTCGGTAATGTTCGCTCTTACTATTATGTAACAAATCCTCTTAGAATGAGAATGCCTTTCACGTTTGACACAGCTACCACACCTTTCAGAAGGACGGCCCCGCAGTCACTCAGAGATCTTCGGGGCAAGGCCCCCGTGGGGCTGCGTGTGCTGGGCCTCCAGTTCTAAGGGACCACAGTGCACCCCTTATCAGATGTTTGTGTTTAGACTCTGAAGGGGGCAAATAACTCCAGTTCCTTTGACAACATTTTGGGCTCTGCCACCATTTTATTATGTGAGCAAACATTTGATAGCTGAGAAGCCCATCCCTAATGACAGGTCATAGAATCTCACTGGCGTCTCCTTATCTGCCGTTCTTGTTTGCTCTTCTATTGAAACCTGCAAGGTCACAAGCCATTTTCTCTCTCCTCCACCTGAAATCTGAAAATTGGAAAAAGGCTGATAGTGGGAAGTAAAGAGACTGGAGAGTGGGGAGGGCCAGGGGAGGAAGAGGAGGCAAAGGGTATCAGAGGACCCTGACCAATGTCTCAAGAATGTGGAAGGGTCAGAAGCCTGCCTCCTCACATGCACGTGCTGCTCGGCCCCACTCTTTTGTTTTGTTTTGTTTTGAGACAGAGTCTCGTTCTGTTGCCCAGGCTAGAAATGCAATGGCATGATCTTGGTTCACAACAGGGTTCAAGGGATTCTCCTGCCTCAGCCTCCGAAGCAGCTGGGATTATAGGCATGCGTCACCGTGCCCAGCTAATTTTTGTATTTTTAGTAGAGATGGGGTTTCACTGCATTGGCCAGGCTGGTCCCAAACTCCTGACCTCGTGATCTGCCAGCTCCGGCCTCCCAAAGTGCTGGGATTACAGCTGTGAGTCACCGCGCCCAGCCTGCAGCCCCACTTTTAAGAGCACTGAGGAGCCGCATGGGCTGAAGAACGCCATGTTCATAACAATTGTGCCAAGGACCACTCTCAGGACTCCACAGGTGTCAACTCATCCAATCCCACAGCAACTCCCATTCTATAGGGGAAGAAACTGAGGCACAGAGACAGTAACTTGTCCAAGAGAACAAAGCTTAGTAGAAGGCTCCTCACCTCCTAGCGTCATAGAAAGAGCACACTCGGAGTGGCCACCTACACAGCTGGTTTGAAGCTGTGGCTCCACACTCTCCTAGTTGTTAAACCTTGAGCAATTCACTGACTTACTTTGAGCCTTGTTTCCCTAATCTGTCAAATAGACATAATGGTATCCTCATAGGGTTATGGTGGGAGCACTGATCAATGAGGTAACAGTGGCCTTTAGTAGTATTGGTAGGTGCTGGGGTGTGTGTGTTTAGGGGGGATCTTGAGAGAATAAACCACTAAGTCAAAGGCAAAACCTTAGATACCAACAAAAGCAAAAGGAAAGAGGAGACAGAGGGAGGCAAAAAGAGACTCTCCGGAAGTTAAAAGGAGAGCAATGACGCTCCATGACGATTCAAACGAATAAGGCCCAGGCCCTGAGGGCGACGCTGCCCTGAGTCGGGTGAGGTGGCTCCTCCTAAGGTCTTCTCCAGCCATTCTGGGGTCTCCTGCCCTGGCTCATCCTCAAGGATGGCCTCAGAGGTCCTCAGCCTTTGGATCCTTTCCCTGGTCCTGTGAGTTTCTTAGCCCAAAGTAAGAAACCCGTAGAAAGCACTTTGCCATTTGCAAAACTCTTTCCCTGATGAGTGGTGTGAGTGGTCATTTTCTCGTGTGCTTTCTGGCCTTGCCGCCCTAGTGAGCAGCATTGGCACACCCTGGGAACTTATTAGAAATGTGGACTCTTAGGCCCACCCCAGGCCTATAAATCAGAATTGAACCAGAATCCACATTTTAACAGGCTCTCTGGTACTTGTGAGTCCATTAAAGTTTGAGAAGCGTTAGTACAGGAGACCTCTGCTCTTAGAGGTCTTAGGAAGAGACCCTTGCTTCCACGACAGGCAAGAGCTTATCATCCAGCTGCCTTTTCAAGCACACTGAGCACTCCATAAATTCCACTGTCACAGAAAGAGGAGCCCAACTTCAGGATTCAGGTCAGCAAGTTAGGACAATTTCAAGGTCCCCAACGATTCGCTTCTGTCTTCTGAAGTGGCCAGGAAAGCCAGCTCCCAGGTTTTCCTGCAGGAAGTGTGATTCAGGATGAAAACTGCAGAACTGAGCATACTTGAGGCCTCCAGCCCTCCACCTGCTGCTCTTTGCTGGTTGAGTTGGGCATCAGCTCACTTGGAGAAGCCAAACTAATGGCCTATGTCCCTGCCAAATGACACAGCTGAGCATTCTCCCTCCTCTCTCTCTGCAGTGTCCTCTGCAAGCCTGGTGATGCCCACACATCACTCACTCTGTGCACAGCAACAAGGACCCTGTTTTCCCCACCATCACCCTCTGGGCAGCTGCCATGGAAAAGCCCAGTGACCTGACAAGCACCTGCGAGAGGTCCCTGCTTACCTGACGGGCATCCTGCTGACACCTCAGACAATCCACTCTCAGGAGGCGCAGCCCGGAGCCCAGCTTCCCTTCTATGCAGTATTGCCACGATGCCTCTCCTACGATGTCAAGGACTCCTGTCTGTCCTGGAGGTGGGAGACAAGGAACCGCCGAAGAGGAAGCAAGAAAGCCGTTGTTTCTACGTTGTGATCCTTCATCGAACAAACTGATGCAAAAACTTGAATCTGTTACTGAAACAAGGAGAGGAGGACGCGTGCTATTGAACTGAGCCAAACACACTGTAAATATCCGCAGACTCCCTCCCCCACCCCATCCCAAATGATCTTGAGATTTCTTTTAAAGAAGTAAATTTGTCCAATGGCTGTAAACTATAAACTACTGTAATTAAGTGCAATTTCCCCTCCGTGTCCTCTCCTCTCTGCCCTGTATATAATACTAAAGTGTCTATTAGTTTTCTTTGTAAAGGTCAGAGTCAAAATTTCAGAAGTGATCTGTCCCCTCTCTTCCCTCATGGAGAAACACCCTGAGTGGGAAGTGAAGCCCCTTGTCCCCTCCCTCAGGCCTGGACACAGGGATGAAATACCGTGGACTGACTACCAGCTAACTTCAGTCTCCTAGCAGTAAGACACACCTCTGGATCCCTGGAGGGGCTCAACGTAGTGTGTCAGAGTAACATGCTAATTTTCTGTGGGGTGGGAGTTCAGCCGTGCACTCCCTAAGAAACCCCAGGGCAGGGAAACTGACTATTTCATAGTAAAAGAAAAAGTTGCAGTCTCAGAAAGCCTTCCATTAAAATGATTTATTTTATCATTGCCCAGAGTCTCATATTTCTGTCTTTGATAATTTTCCTGCCATGGTTCCACCAGGAACCCGTGGTCCCTGGTCTCTTTGGAATTTTCTGTGTACTCCACTGGGATCACTAAGTGTGTCATCTAGGGGTGTAGAGAGGCAGGTGGCCTCTTGCTGTCATGTTCCCAGTGTCTTTGTGTAGGCTTTACTGCTAATTCAGGTAAAGGAGAGTTGATTCCCCCAGTAAAACTCCCCAAGTCACTCAGAAGGAATCTGGCCAGAGCAGAAGCCAGCACCCTTTTCTTCCCTGCAGCTCACAGGGGTAAAATCGTAGAGTCAGTTCTTGGTGGGTGACCTGTGTGATAGAAACAGACAAAAAGTAGGAAGAATGACAACCCAGTGGGTAAATTTTTTAGCCTCATTTAAAGCATTAACTCCAGACTTTCTTCCTGCCCTCCTTTTCCTTCCCTAGGGCTTTCAGTCACTAAGAGAATGGGCTCTTGTGGATGTCACCTCTTGCCCAAGATTCTGTCTCTGGTAGGGATCCTAAGGAATACAAATAGTCCAAACAGTAAAAAGCCAAAGGCCCAGAGACTCCACCAGGAGGGACTTTGCCACAAATAATTCAGTGCTGACTCCAGGAGAAAGGAAGATGGACCTGTCTTCTTTGCTCTTTCCTCTTTTGCCAAACACTGTAAGGCCTAATGGCCTGTGGTTTTTCACTTTTAGGCACAGCATGTCCCAATGAAAGTGAAAGCAAAGATTGTGCTAACCAGACTGTGAGTGATGGATTTTTTCAAAATTCCGTTGTAGCAGGAGATTCAATCCTCAGTGAGCTGGGCGAATTTACTGAGTACCTACTATGTTCCCAGAGCAGGATTGGATGGATTTGGAAGTACTGACTTTAACTGGTTTCTGGCTCCCCCTAACAATGTAATTTGGACTGAAACAGTCAAGAGAGAAGTTCATGACTGGGTTGAGGAGGCTGAGGACAAGAGCAAGCACTGCATGTGGAAAGAGGCCAGGATCCCCTTTCATGAGTTGAGCTGTCCTGTTGGATGGTTCCTGTGAGCTCTAGGAAGAGGAAAGGAACATAAGCCTCAAGCTCCAGCCCCAGCTGAAGTCCTATATCTGGATTTGTGTTGTTTCTGGAACAGCAAGCATCTGCTTTTGGTAGATTTTAAATCTTGCATTGTTGTAACAACCCTGAAAGGCCAGAAGGTCATATTTACCTAACAAGTCATCTGGGCAGAGGTGTAGATGGAAGGCAGGGAGGATGGGTGGGGTTGGGGCCAATCTCTAGAGACTTTTTCTAGCCAAATCCTATTTGAACCAAGATAGATATGCAGACAATTGACCCTGGCAACTGAGAGCCCCGAGGATGGTTAGCTCCACCTTTCCAAATCAAACAAGGACCTCGCTCCACTGGCTATACAAGGGCCAAGGGGAATCACATATTCTGAAGAGTCATTGGCAAGCTTCAACCCCCATATCTTCCTCCCAGCACCTGATGGAACAACAATCTCCAGGGTATCTCTTCATACCCTGAGACCAGGCTCATAGACAGATGGTTCCATTTTTATCACAGCCGGCTGTCACTTTCTAGGGTTAGCCTGGGGAAAGGCAAATTTCAGTTTAGCATCCATGGATAGGAAATAAAATCAGCACTGAACACCTGCCTGAACCTGTATTAAACTTTTCCATGCTGAACAGTTATGGGATAGTCCCCCAACAGCAGCGATAATGCAGTGTTAGCTGCTGAATGCAGGTAGATAAGAAAGAATACAATGCAGACAGTCAGGAACCTGAGCTCTTGACCCACAGTTGGGGGCAAGTCTTTGAATTATCTTTGAAGCCAGAATTCCTTGATTAGAATCTCCAACTCCACCATTTACCTCTCTGGTCCTCAGTGTCCTGCTATGTGAAACTGGGATGATAATGGTAGTACCTACTTTATGAGGTTGTTTGAGAAGTAACAGGGTTAATATATGTTAAACACTTAGAACTGGATATACAATGGGTATTGTGTGTTAGTATCATCTCATCCCAGAGTGCCTTCTCCTGTAGTCTTGTGTCGTCGTCTTCGTCTTCGGGGCTTGGTTGATATTTCCAAATAATTTCATCACCAACTTGATGTTTGGTTAAAAAAAAAAGTACCAATAATTAGTCAAATGTTGTTGCTCGTTTTTATGGTATATGGCAAATCTAAGTGGTAAACCAAGGCTGAGTCAGAATGGGGAGACCTGAGGAGAAAGGAAAGGCTTAACTGGGGAGAGTCTTTGTCCTCCTTAAGAAAAGAAGGAGCTAAAATGTGATGATCTTACATGAATGGGAGGCCCATAGAGAGCACCAGGAAGACGGAACTAAAACTGGCTTTGTGTTCTAAAAAGTGGGTTGGGGATCATGGAGGAGGATCAGTGAGCATGGAAGAGTGAGGGTCAGGAAGAGGTGGAAGCTAACTTCTACCCAAGAAAAACCAGGGTCAATGTGCCCCCTTTGACTTAGGAATTCATTCAAACAAGCCATCCAAAGCACTCTGGAAAATGAGATATGACATATCCATGTCTTAACACTTCAAACACATCACAATAACATCACACAGGCTGAATGTTTATGAGAAATTGCAACCAGCTGAACCAAGCGCCTATTAGGTCCCTCCTCCCCACCCCCTCCCTCTTCCTCTTCTCCTGAGTGCAGAGGTCACTCTGGCTGGACAAATACTGGATTGTCTGCCAAGATTTATAACATGACCATTTTACAAATGAATCTTTAGAGTGTGCAGGACTTTGCACGTGCCTGGATGAATATTTCTTTTTCCTGGGTGCATGCCTATAGAGAAAACACTTTCTAAGGGAGAGACCACAAAGCAAATACGAGGTGGACAACATCAAAAGCAGGAGACACCAAAGCAGGCTTCACACGATCTGCATATGTACATTTATGCCAACAGATCACACAACACAAAAGCAACATGTTTCTTCCCCCACCTTTTATTTTTCACCAGATACACACTGTTATATTCCCCAAAGAAAGGTTTCTTTCCTGTGCCATATTGTCTGACATCATTAATAAACTGATATATTAAATTTTCCCTAATTAATCATGAAGTTTGAAGGTAATAAATGGATAAAGCTAATTTTTTTAAACGCCAAAAAATTCCAGTATACAGAAAACATGTCTGATTTCCTGAGCTACTATTACAAGATCTTCTGTGTATAACTTTGCTTTTGGAAACATAAAATCCAAAATGATATTTCCCCTTCATTTATTCAAGAAATACTGGCACTTGCTGCATGTTGGGCACTATTGTTCTAGACACTGGAGATATGTCAGTAGACAAAAGATATAAAAATCATTACCTTCATGAAGCTTACATTCTAGTCAGGGAGATAGCAAATAAATGTGTGAATATATGTATGTGTATGTGTGTGTGTCAGATGTTTTTAAAAATCTATGCAAATTATAGCAGGCAAAGGAGATACTAGGGGTGGGCTAGCCATTTATTTTTATTATTTATTTTTAATTTTTTTGAGACAGAGTCTCACTCTGTTGCCCAGGTTGGAGTGCAGTGGTGCAATGTCAGCCCACTGCAACCTCTGCCTCCTGGGTTCAAGCAATTCAAGCAATTCTCCTGCCTCAGCTTCCCAAGTAGCTGAGACTACAGGCACATGCCACCACACCCAGCTAATTTCTGTAGTTTTAGTAGAGACGGGGTTTCGCTATATTGGCCAGGCTGGTCTGGAACTCCTGACCTCAGGTGATCCGCCTGCCTCGGCTTCCCAGAGTGCTGGGATTACAAGTGTCAACCACCAGGCCCATCATGGCAGTCATTTTAAACAGTATGTTCAAGGAAGAAGAGAGTGGCCACTAAGAACATGATGTCTGAGAGTCCTAAGTTTGCTGAGTGAGCCATGTGGACATCTGGGAGGAGAGCATTCCAGGCAGAGGTAACAGCAAGTGCAAAGGCCCTGAGGCAGGAACAGAAACGCATAGCGGAGCAGCTAGAGGGAAAGTTCTGGGTCACAGAGGTAAGCAGGTGCAAGGGCACAATGACAAAGGGCCTTGTGGCCATTTGTAAGGACTTCTGCCAACTGTGATAAGAACTTTGGCTTTCACTTTGTATGAGCTAGGAGCCAACAGAGAATTTTGAATACAGCAAGGACAAGCTATGACTTATGTTTTAAAAGGATCCCTCTGACTGTTGAGCTTTCAGGGAAGGGAATGCCAAGAGTGACAGCAAAGAGACTATCAGGAAGTTATCATAATCTAAGCATGGGTGATGAGAGGTAATCTGACTGTGTATTTTGAAAGCAAAGAATTTGAAGATACCAGGATTTCCTGATGGTTTATATGAGGAATGTGAGAAAGATAGTAATCAAAAATAATTCCAAGATTTGCTCCCTAAACAAAGTAGAAAATAGAAATTAGTGTTGTCAGCCAGGTGCAGTGGCTCACATGCATAATCCTAGCACTTTGGGAGCCCAAAGCAAGAGGATCTCTTGAGCCCCGGAGTTTGTGACCAGCCTGGGAAACATAGCAAGACTTTGTCTCTACTAAAAACAAATTTTTTAAAAAAAAAGCCAGGTATGGTGGCAAGCACCTGTGGTCCCAGCTACTCAGGAAGCTAAGGCAAGAGGATTGCTTAAAGAGGTCAAGGCTGCAGTGAGCTAAGATTGCACCACTGCACTCCAGCCTGGGCAATAGAGCAAGACCCTGTCTCAAAAAAACAAAATTGCTGTTGTAAGAAATGAAAAACAATGTTACCCAAACATAGGCTCTGTCTTGGTTATACTTTAAAGTGGTACCTTAGGAAGCATCTTAGTAGTATGTTATGCTATGATGTGATATTATCATATCCCTAATATGACGTCAGGCTCTTCGGTTACATGACATTCATTTGGTCGATGTAATAGTCCATTCTCACACACTGCTATAAAGACATACCTGAGACTGAGTAACCTACAAAGAAAAGAAGTTTAATCAGCTCATGATTATGTGGGCTGCGCAGGCTTCTGCTTTTAGAGAGGCCTCAGGAAACTTATTATGATGGTGGAAGGCAAAGTGGAAGCAAGCACGTCTTACATAGCAGGCAGGAGGGACAGAGAGAAGGGGGAGATGCTACACAGTCAAAGACCAGATCTCCTGAGAACTCCAGGAAAAACAGCACTGCAGGAGGGTGCTAAAATCGTTAGAAACCACCCCCATCATCCAATCACCTCCCACCAGGCCCCACTTCCACATAAGGATTACAATTTGACATGAGATTTGGGTGGGGACACAGAGCCAAACCACATCAGTCAACAAATGTTTATTGAGTGCTTACTACATGCTACACACTCTTCTAGGTGTGGGGAGAAAAGCAGTTTAAAAAGCCACTTCCCAATGGGGTTTACATTCAACTGGGAGGGAGCTGACCAGAACTAAACAATATATTAAATACATACAAAATAAACAAATATATGGGTATTGATACATACTAGAAAGAAAAATGAAGCAGAGAAAGGTGAAAGGGGAGGGTGGGGAAGGAGGTGGATTCAAATTTACATAGGTAGCTCTTACCTTGCTTTCCAAGATAGGATTTCATTTGGGCATCCTGACCAAAAAGATAACTGAGTGAATATTTCTGAATCACCTGCACTGCCTGCTGAAGACTTTGTTTCCCTACTGATTCCTTCTGTAGGAGATTCTATCAGTTCCCCCTTGCTGCTGTAACAAATTACCAAAAATGTGGTGGCTTTAAATGACTGAAATTTATTCTCTCACAGTTCTGGGGGCCAGAAGGCCAAAATCAATATCACTGGACCAAAGTCAGGGTGTCAACAGGTTGTCACTCCCTCCAAAAGCTCAAAATTAGGGGAGTCTTACCTTGACTCTTCCAGCCTCTATTGGCTGTTAGCAGTTCTTGGCTTGTAGCCACATCCCTCCTATCTCTTCCTCTCTGGTCACATTGCCTTCCCTCTGTGTCAAATCTCCTCTTCCTCCCTCTTATAAGGATATATGTGACTGTATTCACAGCCCACTGTGTTGCTTAGGATAATCTTCCTGAATCACATCTGTAAAGATCTTTTTTCCTTTTAATGTAAAATTTACAGGATGGAGGGATTAGGTCCTGATATCTTTGGGGGTCATTATTCAACCTAATGCAGCGACTTCATCACAAACCCAGACATTCAAAGCCAGAAAAGAGAAGTTAAAGCAATACTTTCTTTTGTACAACCTTTTCCTTTATAATTCATCATTATTTTCATAAAATAGGTTGTCTTGTCCAGGAAACATGGATGGTAACAAAAGAGACACTTGTTTCTTAATCGTTATAAAATCTACTTTCAGGAGCCACACTTTGGAGCAGCTTGAATCAATAAGTCAATGAAAAACTTAAACATGTTGCTCATGTTTGTATCATGGAGACAAAAAAATAGTTTGCCACTGTGGTTAGGGTTAACTATTCATCTAATCATTTGTTAATCTAGTAAATATTTACTGCTGCCTTATAGAGTTGTGGTTAAGAGCTCAGAGTAAGGAGTCATTCAAATCTGATTTCAAATCCTGGCTCTACCACTTACTAGCTGTGAGATCTTTGAAAGGCAACTTAACCTCTTTGAATGTTTTCTTACCTAAAAATGGGTTGTCTGAGGATTAAATGAGATAGAAGATACATACAGCCCATTTCCTGGTACATAAGGAAGTGCTCAATAAATGTTCATAATTAGCATCCACTTCAGGAAGATATCATGAGATAGCATAATGGGCCACTTCTCTACTGTCACTGACTGTCTTCCTCCCACCAGAATGTTGTGAGAGCAGGGATGTGATGTTTTGTTCACTGGTTTGTCCCCAGCATCTGGTACCTGACACACACTGGCAGTTGGTAAATATTATTTGAATGAATGAATGTGTGTATGTGTATCATGAAGTTTACTAGTTTTATGTTTGGAAAATGACCTCGATACACACCTCCCAGCATCACTGTCAGCATCACTCTCTGGGGCCTCCCAAGATTCAAAGGAAGGAGCAAGTCATCAGGACTACTTCTATCACTGGGGACAAGGAGAAAGAAGAGATGAAAATGGCAGTCCTGGGTGGTGTTTTATGGCTAGTGTATTACTATGGATAGTTGGAAGTGTGGCTTAGTACTCAACTAAAACTGAAAGTT